GTTCTCTCTCTCTCTGTCTCTGTCTCTGTCTGTCTGTCTCTCTCTCTCTCTCTATATATATATACAAGAAGAAGAAGCATAAACAACGATGTAAACATTACCCTGGCGACGTACCCAACCCTTGCGCAATGCGGGGGGGCTTAAGTACATCAGGATTGCTGCAACGAGGGCGATGACGTAACACGGACGCATGCGATTTTGCGAGCAGCAATCGGAAGGCTCTCAGACCCCCGAACAATACATAAAGGGCTACGTAATAACAAATCACCCCCGTTGGCTGTGCCATGCGCCCGTTGCACCCAACTTATCCCACAGCAGCTCTTGAGAGCCCCTGCGGGCTACGTGTAGGCGCAACGTTATGGCCATCGCCCGGCAGATGGTCTGTTGCGCCCGTTGCGCTTAACGTATCCCGCAGCAGCTCTCCAGAGCCCCCCAGGGACGGCGAGGTCTCGCTCAGGTCCCCGCGGTGCCTCACTCCGCAGGACCCACCAGCAGCACTCGAAAGCGGCGACAGTGTCGCAGATCGCAGCCCCCCCAGGGACGGCGAGGTCTCGCTCAGGTCCCCGCGGTGTCTCAGTCCGCTGGACCCAGCAGCAGCCCTCGAAAGTGGCGACGGTGTCGCAGACCGCAGCCCCCTGTAACGACGGCGAGGTTTCGCTCAGGTCCCCGCGGTGCCTCAGTCCGCTGGACCCAGCAGCAGCCCTCGAAAGTGGCGACAGTGCACCAGATTGCAGCCCCGTCCAGGGACGGCGAGTTCTCGCTCAGGTCCCCGCGGTGCCTCAGTCCGCTGGACCCAACAGCAGCCCTCGAAAGTGGCGACGGTGTCGCAGATCGCAGCACCCCTTAGGGACGGCGAGTTCTCGCTCAGGTTCCCGCGGTGCCTCACTCCGCTGGACCCAGCTGCAGCCCTCGAAAGTGTCGACAGTGTCGCAGATCGCAGCCCCCCTAGGGACTGCGAGGTCTCGCTCAGGTCCCCGCGGTGCTTCAGTCCGCTGGACCCAGGAGCAGCCCTCGAAAGTGGCGACGGTGCCGCAGATCGCAGCCCCCCTAGGGACTGCGAGGTCTCGCTCAGGTCCCCGCGATGCCTCATTCCGCTGGACCCACGAGCAGCACTCGGAAGTGGCGACGGTGTCCCAGATCGAAGCCCCCTGCCCCTGTAACGACGGCGAGGTCTCGCTCAGGTCCCTGCAGCGCCTCATTCCGCTGGACCCAGCAGCAGCCCTCGAAAGTGGCGACGGTGTCGCAGATCGCAGCCCCCCAGGGGCGGCGAGGTCTCGCTCAGGTCCCCGCTGTGCTTCACTCCGCTGGACCCACCAGCAGCCTTCGAAAGTGGCGACAGTGTCGCAGATCGCAGCCCCCCAGGGACGGCGAGGTCTCGCTCAGGTCCCCGCGGTGTCTCACTCCGCTGGGCCCAGCAGCAGCCATCGAAAGTTGCGACAGTGTCGCAGACCGCAGCCCCCCAGGGACTGCGAAGCGGCCAGCCCCCCGCGGTGCCTCACTCCGCTGGGCCCAGCAGCAGCTCTCGAAAGCGGCGACCGCGTCGCAGATCGCAGCCCCCCAGGGACGGCGAGGTCTCGCTCAGGCCCCCGCGGTGCCTCACCCCGCTGGACCCAGCAGCAACCCTTGAAAGTGGCGACAGTGTCGCAAATCGCAGCCACCCAGGGACGGCGAGGTCTCGCTCATGTCCCCGCGGTGTCTCACTCTGTGGGACCCACCAGCAGCCTTCGAAAATAGCGACGGTGTCGCAGATCGCAGCCCCCCCCCCCCCCAGGGACGGCGACGTCTTGCCCAGGTCCCCGCGGTGCCTCACTCCGCTGGACCCACGAGCAGTCTTCGAACGTGGCGACAGCGTCGCAGATCGCAGCCTTGCCCCCCTCCCAGGGGCGGCGAGGTCTCGCTCAGGTCCCCGCTGTGCTTCACTCTGCTGGACCCACCAGCAGCCTTCGAAAGTGGCGACAGTGTCGCAGATCGCAGCCCCCCAGGGACGGCGAGGTCTCGCTCAGGTCCCCGCGGTGCCTCACTCCGCTAGACCCACGAGCAGCTTTCGAACGTGGCAACAGTGTCGCAGATCGCAGCCCGCCCCCGCCCCCAGGGACGGCGAGGTCTCGCTCAGGCCCCCGCAGTGCCCCCTTCCACAGGACCACCCACCAGCAGCCCTTGAAAGTGGTTGGCGACAGCGTCGCAGATCGCAGCCCCCCCTCAGGGACGGCGACGTTTCGCTCAGGTTCCCGCGGTGCCCCATTCCGTTGGACCCACCAGGAGCCTTCAAAAGTGGCGACGGTGTCGCAGATCGCAGCCCCCCAAGGACGGCGAGGTCTCGCTCAGGTCCCCGCGGTGCCTGACCCCGCTGGATCCAGCAGCAGCCCTCGAAAGTGGCGACAGTGTCGCAGATCGCAGCCCCCTGTAAGGACGGCGAGGTTTCGCTCAGGTCCCCGCGTTGCCTCACTCCGCTGGACCCAGCAGCAGCCCTCGAACGTGGCGACAGTGTCGCAAATCGCAGCACCCCCAGGGACGGCGAGTTCTCGCTCAGGTCCCCGCGGTGCCTCACTCCGTCGCAGATCGCAGCCCCCAGGGACGGCGAGGTCTCGCTCAGGTCACCGCGTGCCTCACTCCGCAGGACCCACGAGCAGCTTTCGAAAGTGGCGACCGCGTCGCAGATCGCAGCCCCCCCAGGGACGGCGAGGTCTCGCTCGGGTCCCCGCTGTGCGCCACTCCGCTGGACCCAGCCGTAACCCTCGAAAGGAGGAGGAGGAGGCGGAGGAGGAGGAGGAGGAGGAGGAGGAGGAGGAGGAGGACAGGAGGAGTAGGCTGACAGGAGGAGGAGTAGGAGGACAGGAGGAGGAGGAGGAGGAGGAGGAGGAGGAGGAGGAGGAGGAGGGGGCCGTTTGGGCGCCTCTTGGAGTTTTTTGTTGGTGCTTCTTGGGGGCCTCTTGGGGGCCTCTTGGGAGTCTCCTGGGGCCTTTGGGGGGCCTCTTGGGGCATCCTGCGAGTTTTTTTGGGGCGGAAGGCTCGGATTTTTGGTTCGGGCTCCCCGTATTGGGTACTTCTTAGTGCCCTCTTGGGCCGTGTTGGGCGCATCTTGGGAGCCTCTTGAGCCGTCTTGAGGCTTTATTGGGGGCCTCTTGGACCGTCTTCAACGCCGTGAAGGCCGAAAACTCGTATATGCTAAACGTGTACGTTCTGTTCTGGACAATCAATGGTTGTGGCCTCTTGGGGCCTTCTTGGGGGTGCTCGTGGAGACTTCCTGGGACGTCTTGGAAGCTTTTTGGACCGTCTTGGGGCCATCTTGGGCGTCTTGGTCCGATCTTTGGGCGACTCGGGGCCCTCTTGGGCCATTTTGGGGGCCGTCCTGAGCACTCTGGGCTCCTTTGGGGACTTTTCCAGGTTTCGGGGCAGTTCGGGGGGGAAACGAATCTGGGTGGCGGACCCTTTCTGGACCCCCCCCTCCCCCCGCGGGGAAGGGATCAATGTGAAGGGGCTTCCCTTCGACTCCACTACGACGTTGTTCAATTTCGCATTGGATGGCGCGCTTGAGGAGGAGGGCCCAGGGAAAGGGACGGGGGACGACGGAGACGGCGAGGAGACGACTGTGACGACGACGGAGACGACGAGGAGACGACGGAGACGACGAGTCGAACGGAGAAGCCCCTCACACACGCCGACAGGGTCGGCGGATTTTTGTGTCGAAAATCTGCCTGCAGGGGGAAACGCCCCTACAGGCACATCGGAGAAACGACACAGCGCAGCACAGCAGCAGCGCGGCATGGCCCATGACATGCAGGTACACCATGGCATACGATGTCATGGCGTAGCGTAGCGCGTCATACCATGCCTCGGCACGGAACTCGCGCGAGGAGCCAGGCGCCCGAGGCACGAGCATTGCTCTTCACGGGGCGAGTAAGTCCCCAAAGGGCAAGATGAACTGGGGAGGGTCAATTTTTTTGAGGTGCGCACAGAAACCTCAGCGCACCCTTGTCATATCTACTCGTTCACTGGTGCGCTGCCGTGACGCTCGGCAAACCACATCAGGGGTAACGATAGGGGGGGAGGACAGGATCAGGGTGTGTGTGCCTCGACCCCCAAGCGGACGATAGGGGTCTGATAGCCCCACCTGGCCCAGGAACGTGCGGATCCGACATGGGGGGCCTGCCGGCGATCTATCGGCTTTGTTTCGCCGTTTCCAAGTAGATGTTTCCCCCCCGAGCCAGTCACCCCTATCGTTGCCCCTTGCGACAGCCCCTGCCTTCCAGCACTGACGCACACGTCTGTGATAGTCTGTCTTCTTCGGTTCCCAGGTTGGGTTTCCTCGATTTGACCCGTCTTCCTATCATTCGTTTTGACGCACATTTCAGCGATGTGCCCTCTGTTCACACACCCCTTCTCCACCAGACAATGGCTATTGGGCTTCCAGCGCGCTTATACAATCTTTGCATCCTCACCGATGCCCCTTGACCTCTGCTTTCCTCCATAGGAGCTGAAGAAGGTGATGACCGACCATGTCTTGAAAAGTGACCGGGAAGCGATCAGGCCACGGCTCACGTTTGTTAATTGTTGCACGCTTGGTAGGACATGACTTGGTTCAGACAGTCTGTTAAGAAGCCAAAGGGTCTTATTGTTGAGCAAGCCATTAATCCAGTTGCGGCGGTAGAAGTCAAATGATTCGCGCACATATCTCAATGCAGGGTTGGCTTCCAGTCAATATATTTGATTGTTCCTGCATCGGTGTTCACGGAACGTTATGCTTCGGCTACAGGTGAGCGTCCGAGGATCTGAAATTGCATCCGCCGTGTAAGCATGGAGACCCTGACACATCCAGTTGCAATTTTACGCGAACTGATCTGTTTGCCACATCCGTCTTTGACAACGCTGGAGTCGAGGTCGTTCCCTTTGTAGACCTTGAGGCCGTCGTGGTCATCGTGCAGTCAGCTTCCGGTACGATGTCTAGTAGTCCGTAGTAGATGACATGTCAGCATGTTGATTACAATGCGGCTTAGGCGGAT